GATTACTAAGCCAATGAGGGCTTCCTTTCACAGTGGCAATGATCGGGGCACAGAATAACCCCAGACTGGGTGCCACACAGGATTAGGGAGCCCGTGCTTCCTTTCTTCTTTCTTAAATCCTCACCCAAGGATATGTATATTGATTTTAGAGAGAGAGGGAAGTGGAGAGTGGGAGAGAGAGAGAAACATCGATGTGAGAGGGGAACAGTGTATGTGTCCTGACCAGGTATTGAAGCTATAATCTAGATGTGTGCCCTGACTAGGAATTGAACCCACAGCTTTTTGGTGTACAGGACGCTGCTCCAACCAACTGAAACCCCCAGCCAGGGCAGAGCCCACACTTCTGTATTTCCTACTTGGATGTCAGTTTTTATGTAGTATGCTCTAAGAGGGGGGTGCCCAACCTTTTGGCGCCTCTGGGCCACACTGGAAGAAGAAGAATTGTCTTGGGCCACACGGTAAATACATTGTGACACATAATCACAAAAAAATATCTCATAATGTTTTAAGTAAATTTATGATTTTGTGTTGGGCTGCATTCACAGCCATCCTGGGCTGCGTGCGGGCCGAGGCCACAGGTTGGACACCCCTGTGAGTCTAAAGCCAGCTGGACTCCAGAGTCTTTAAAAGAATGACTTGTCTTCCTCGGAATGAAAGGATGAGTGTAGACCTCAGAGTCAATCAGAGAAGTGAAGTCATTAAAAACCAAAAGAATTTAGTTACCCTGAGAAGAGTTTATGGATTTTTATGCTGATGTTTTCATATGTATGTATTCAGTCTATCACCCGAAAGTTAAAAACACTTAACAATTCCTCGGTGAAGAGTTCTTACACACCAACAGTGTACTTATTACTGTAGTGAGTTTTAAGTTCATGTAAGAGTTCCGCATTCAAACTTCAAAAGTTTTAAGGGTTTAAGTAAAAGTCAGCGGTTTCATAAAATGCACATAAACAGCAACAGCTATACTCGTGCAATAAGATGCAGGCTCGTAATCGAATGCCGCCAGCCCAGCATCTCCGCAGCAGATAACACAGCACAGCGGTGCCCACGTCCACGCCAAGTCACTCCCGTGATGCCTGCGAGTCTACAGCCATGACACGAGATGCTCACATGCACCTCTCACTGCACCGTGCTCCATGTCTGCCTTGTCCCCCTCCACACCCATCTCCTCTTATTGAGCCCGCTGCCCCCGAGCAGTTTGGAGAAGGTCTCCCTGTCTATCATGAAGACAGCAGTGTCCTTGCCAAGGTTCCAATAATATTTTCACCTTGGGGTGTTCCCAAAGCTTTCAGCCCTAAGTAGCCAAAGGGGTGTTATTTTCTTGCAACGACGATAAGCCTGTTCCCAGTTCTTTACCAGAGTCCCAAATCAACTCTCCAAATCTCCTCCTCCTGCTAAGTGGTCTCCCTCCCCCGCCCCCTGCCCATAGTGGGTGTTCTAATTTGGTCCAATAAGACCAGACAGAGAACCCTTCCTTTACCTTCTCTCTCTCCTCCCTCAACCACCAATTCTTTTCTCCATACCATTATGGGAAAAAAGAAAAGAAGAAAGAGAAAGCCCTTTATTTATCATGATTATGAACTAAAGTGTGTGTGTGTGTGTGTGTGTGTGTGTGTGTGTGAACCCAAGCAGTATTCTCACTGGGCTTTCAGTTCAAATGGGTCACAGCATTATCTGGAGGGTTTCATGAAGTAAGGAAGATCTCATTTACCATGCAAAATGGGAAGGACTGGCTGTGCGTCCCAGTGGAAACATACTACTCCCAGCACAAGGGAGGACTAACAGGCTCTGGGGCACAGGGGTGGGCGTGAGTGGGGCTTGTTCAGTGAACAGTGAGAAGAGTTAGCATTGCACAAGAGTTGCCGCAAGGGCATCACACAGTATGGCATGGACCACTGCGGTGGAGCTGAGTTCTAGAGCACAAGCTAACGAGAACAGGCTTGCTGCGGTCGATCACAAGCAAGCTCCCGGGGTACCGGAGCAGGGGTTGTAGCAGGATGACTGTGGTATTTACGACTTCCCTGAGGGCTCGATCTGACCAGGGAATACGCAAAGACCGGACAGGTGAGACTGTGGAACTCTGTCGTCATGAGGGAAGAGACCTGCAGGGGGAAGTGTGCGTGCTGGACCCCTGGTCCCGGACTGGACAGACAGGAGAAGAGTGAGGGGTGCTGGAATAAATCTGGTTTTCTCCTCCTCTGATGCTGCCACCCGATGAGCTCCCTTTGACTGTGAACTATAGTCTAAAGGAAACGTGTGTTCCCAAATGAGTTCAAACTGGTTTTGCATCCTTTACCTCACCTACACACTGTCCCGTCAACTGCTGAGTACCGTTATCCAAAGTCTGCCGCCATAGCCCCCAGCTTTGTCTGATCTGCTCCCTGTTGCACACACTTGCCGTGACTCTAGGTCTCGGCATCTGCTTGGCCCGTTGTCTTGACCACCCTGCCTTTTCTTACGCCCTGCCCTGCTCTCTGTGTGGATAAAGATGGTAGAAATCTTTCACCTCTCAGCAGACCATCACTATGCCCCATCCTGCCTTCCAGGCCTCCTTGCCTCAGTTATTCCATCTTCTTCTCCCCTAACTTAGGGGAAGGGAGATGGGAGACATTTTTTTAATCGGAAACTTCGAAATGTTTGCATGAAATACCGAGCATGTAAGCCCCTCCCTGGAGCAGAAGACAACACCTAGTTCCTTAAAGGTAGTCTCTGTTTGTAGCAGAACTGGTGACTGTACTTCACCTTGATCTCTGAGAGGGTGTTTATGGGTCCTAGCTGGGAATTGGCCCTTTGCTGAGTGTAGAACCCCAGGAGTTTCATGAACTTGGGCTCAGCCCTCTGGAAGATCACAATGTCACACTCTTCAACATGGAACTGTAACGCTGTGTGCTTGGATGACAGCTCAAAACTAGTTTGGGGTATGGAACCAGGGCAGCTCCCTAACTGAAAGGTAGAATGGATATAACCACCAAACATAGTTATTATACGGAGATAATAAGGTATGAAGAATGGATACAATTACCAAAGAAGCACAGCTTTCCTCTGCACATCATGCAAGAGGAAATAAAGAAGGATCTTACTAGATTTTATGCCTGAATCAAGAGACACCCTCTCAGGGAGAATGTGAGCCTTTAAATATTGTGCAGGGCAGCCCAGCTCTGAAACAGCCATCACTGGCCAGGTCCATGGTAGGCGAAGCCTTGCGGTGCAGGAGCAGTCTTCCTGGAGTATGTGCCAGAATTCGCCCCAATCCCAGCGAGAAACAGCCACAGAAGGACCTTTTCCTTTGAAGCACAGCTGTCACCTAGCTGGGGTCGAGAACGGTCCTGAGAGAGAGATGAGGCAACAGATTGTTAGCCAGTGGAGCAGACTGTAATTTTAAAGGTACAGGGAGGGTTTAGTAAAGGTGGTGTATTAGAGCTACCATAACAATACACCATGGACTCGGTGGCTTCATTAATGGAAGCTTTAGTTGCTCACAGTTCTGGAGGCTGGAGGTCCAAGGTCAGAGTGGCAGCAGGGTTCAGAGGCCTCTCTCCTTGGCCTGCAGATGCTCACCCTCCTGCTGCTGTTCATGGGGTGGGTCTTCTGTGCACGCGCCTCCTGTGTGTCCACGTGCCTCCCTGTGTGTCCACATGCTTCCCTGTGTGTCCACGTACCCTTCTCTTACAAGGACACCAGTCAGATGGGTGAGGGTCCATGGAAGGGCCTCATTTCAACTTAACCATCTCTTTAAGGAACCCACTTCCAAATATAGTCACCTTCTGAGGCTAGGCTTCAACGAATGAATTTCAAGGGGACAATTCAGCTCGCCACAGGTCGCCTGAGAGAACCTTGGCTTGAACACTAAGAGTTGTCATGACTGACAGTTGTGGGGTGGCACTTAGTACATGCCAGAGACTGTTGTATTTTCCGTGTATTATTCCATCTCATCTGCACAATGGCAGGTTGTCTAGTTCAGGTTATACTTACTTGCAGATTACTACCTGCTTTCCTGAAAAGTGGTCAACTTCACTTTGTGTAAGCATGGGGTACAGTGAGCGCCACACCCCAGTCCATAACCTGGGGTCCCTGTGATTTGATGTGACTGGGAATAATGGGAGAACCTCGTTATCACGCTGCGGTTCATAGAAGATCTCTGGGAAGGGCAAGGCCTCCCTTCTCCACGCAGGGTCTCTGCAGACCTGTGTCCAATGACAGGACAGCCTGAGGGGGAAACAGGGCAACCTCTTTCAGGGGACCTTCCCCCAACACCCCCCCCCCACCATCCACACAGCCCAGACCCCACACTCATTCTTGGGCAGGAGGGATCATCCGAATTAAGACAGGGAGCTGTCATCTCAAGGAGTCAGGCGAACAAAGGGAGGGGGAGTGTGAGACTCACTCACTCACCCAGGACAGCTCTGATGCCCAAAGCAGAGCACTTGTTACAAGCCAGGCACCTGTACCTAGATCCTCTCATTTCATCCACTCATCACCCCTGAAAAAGCTATTCTTATTCCTGTTTACAGATAAAGAAACCAGAATTAGCTGGGGCCACAGCCCTGCCCCACCCTTCCCCTGTGTGGCCTTGAGCTAAGTATGCACCCTCTCTGGGTGGGTCTCACTGGCCTCACCTGTAAACTGGATGCTTACTCTCATTTCCCCCTAGCTGGGCCCCAGCACCACCACGCCACATGTGCACACTGTGTAGCCACTTTTCTTGGCTGCCCACACTCCTTTCCAGGGGTCCCAGCTGCAGTTGCAACAAATGAACACACTCCTATGGATCTCCACCCACCTACTTCAGTGCCCAAACTCCTCCCTCATCCAGGGTAACTGGCAAAGAAACCATCACATTTGCATAAGGGTGAACTAGCCCCAAGTGGGAGGCAGTCAGCATTGGAGAAGTAGCTGGGGCAGCCTTCGGCCACCCTGCTAGCTCAAAGGAAGAGGAGGCGAAGAGCGGCACTGGGCCAAGAGTGACACTGGGCTTTCTCTCTCCTTCTCTGGCCCTCTAGGAGGCTCTCTCGGTGGTGAGTGACGACCAGTCCCTGTTCGACTCCGCCTACGGCGCGGCCCATCTCCCCAAGGCCGACATGACCGCCTCAGGGAGTCCTGACTATGGCCAGCCCCACAAAATCAACCCCCTCCCACCACAGCAGGAGTGGATTAATCAGCCGGTGAGGGTCAATGTCAAGCGGGAGTATGACCACATGAATGGATCCAGGTAAGCCCGCCAGGCCTGCGCGGCTCCAAGGCTGGGCGTAGCCGCCGCTGCCAGGTGTGGGGCTGGGGAGGCTGGAGTCTCGCTGCCAAGCGTCTGAGTAGGCATGTCTGACCTAAGTGACTTCTGGCATTTAGGGTTTCTGCAGCAGGTGAGGCCCTGGTGCTGAGCCAGGAGCCTGAGTCAGTTCCTAGAGAGCTGAGAGAGAGAGAAAGAGAGAGAGAGAGAGAGAGAGAGAGGTGAGGGCTGAGGGTGGAGCAAGGCCAGCAAGCTCCCCTGGATCTCTGGATTAGGCTCATAATCTCCTCTGCAGACACGTATGGAACACTTACTTTGTGTCAGGTCCAGGTGCAGCCCCCCTTGGGGATAACTTAGCAAAAAGGTATACTTCCCTGTCCTTGTTGAAGATACTTGACCTTTCAGGGTGGGCCTCACCAAAGCAAAGATGACCAAACCATCTTGCAGTAAGAGTCCAGAGCTGACGACTGAGGTGGACATGTGGAAGGGCTCGCTGTGTGAGAGAGGACATATTGCACTTAGACAGTGTGTTTGAAGTTGGTGGTGCCGGCACAGGTAAGGCTGTGCTTGTAGCAGTTGGGGGGGAGTCCAAGGAGAGAAGCATCACAGGGCCGAGGAAGAGCAGGCCTGGGGAACAGGTAGCCCAGGCACCAGTCCTGGCTCTGCCCTTGGGCGAGCGGTCTGCGTCTCTGAGCACCAGCTTCCTCCTTTCCAAACCAGCACTGGAGGGTCTTCTTCCCAGGCTTGCTCCCAGGGTTAACTCTGATGCTGCAGGGAAAGGGCTCAGAACGGTGCCGAGGACTCGGAGGGTTCTGGACGGTGATAGTGATCATCTCGAGCAAAGGTTTGAGTGAGAGAAAGCCTTGGTCTCATTCCTGAAATACCAGATAATTCAAAGAGTCCGTAGCACAGGGAGATAAATGTAAGAATAAGAAGGAGCCCCGAATGGCAGGCTAAGAAGTTATGGAACTCATTCTACTTGCAAAGTCTGACTTAGCAGAGACATGACATTTAATACCATCAGAGCTATGATTTTGGACACGGGAGATAACAATCAATGTGTACAGAGAATAGAAAGAGGGGAGTCAGAAAGATAAGTTAAAAGGTTGTAGAAATATCCCAGACAAGAAATTTCAATGTCCTGAATGAGGGTAGTGGTGCTGATTCTGGAAACCAACAGGGGTAGAGACAGGAGGAGCAAATCACGGGGACGATTACCAGGGTCAGGCCAACAGGCAGGTAAGGGGAGAATCAAAGATGGCCGAAGCCTAGATGTTGCCAAGAAGGCCAGTGCTGTTCGCAGCCACCGGAGTGGGGAGAGAAGATGCTTTACGGAGAGATGTCGGTGGTCCCTGTGAGATTTTGTGAACAAACAGTAGAATGCCCAGATAAACATGTCTGCTAGGCTTTGCAAACCAAAGCTCAGATAATATCGTGGGGCTGGGATGTAGGTTTAGGCCTCGTCTCTGATGCGTTTGAACTGTGAAGTGGATGAGGTCCCCGAGGAAATAAGTCTAGAGAGAGAAGAAGGGAGTGTGCATGCAGCCTGGAGGGAGCCCTTCTCCTGAGAGCCCCCGGTCTCCCACCGGCCTGTGGGGACACCCAGGCCCACCACATCTCAACCCCACTAACCAGAAGCAGTCCCTGGGACCCCAGCCGCCTTCCTGGCTCTGGGATTTCGGGAAGACTCGGAGGCTCGGGGCCGAGAGCCCTGGAAATGAGTGTCTCTCCACATAGATAATACGGATATTGAGTTCCTCGCATTGTAGGTGGGGTACAGTTTGTCAAACATCTTTCCTATTGTCTTATCATTCGCTCCCCACCACTCTCCTGTGAGGTAGATACTGTAATCACATACCGACATATGAAGGCGAATTGGGCTTTGAGGAGGTAAATGACTTGTCCAAGGATCGAGAGGAGACAAAGCTGGCCACAGAGCCCAGGCATCCTGACTCCTGGCCGGTGGGCCGCCTCCCTGCCCCTTCCCGTCTGCTGTGGGTTGTACTTTTGCGGTTACCTTCTCAGTTCTGCCGACACTCACCCCAACAGCCAGGGGAGCTCTTTAGGAAAGCCTTCCTCCTGGCCTGGCCTCCACGGCTCCCCATACCTGGGAACAATCCAGATACCACCCCTGGAGAGTCTCCGGTCTGTTGGATCCTGAATCCACCCACCACTCACCTCCACCTCGAGCAGAGTCAGCCGCGCCTCTCCTCCTAGACTACCCCAGCGGCACCCTGTTCTCCCCATGTTCTTCAGACCACGGCCAGAGTCATCCTCAGAAATGATCTAACTGTCTTGCTCAAAATCCTTTACTGGCTTATGACAAAAGCCAAAGTCACCCCACCACCCCTCGGACACCCTCTTTTCCACCCTGCTCCCCATTTTACTCCTTCCCTCCACACTCCTGCCTCAGAGTCTCTTCCCTTATGTTCCTTCTTTCTGGAACATTGCTACTTCATCTGGTCTTAGGACTCTCTCCCCGCTTATTTCAGGTCTTGGCCTGAATGTCACCTTCTCAGAGGCCTTCCCTGACCACCTGATCTAAAACATCACCTGTCACATTAGCCTGCCTTGATTCTTCTTAGCTCTTTCTGGCTCTCATCATATCCCTCATTCAATGTAGGCGGGGCTTTTCTTTTTCTGAGCACATGATAGGTGTTCAATAAATAGTTACTAAGTGAACAGGTGAATGAACGTGTGGCTAACCACCAGTAAAGGCTCACAAGTGGAAGTGCGTATTCCAAGTCGCGCAGGCATTAGCGTAGAAGCCGACAGGACGGAGACCAAGGTCAGCCTTGGTCCCTGCCCCAGACAGAGCCTGCGTGTGTGCTCAGCCAGGCCACCTAGGCCACCCAACTGCTCAAGGAAGCCTCAGCCACTCCAAGATACTAATCCTGGGCAAAGAGGGTCCCTGAAGAAATCAGTTTTCAGAACTCATCAGCCAGCTCATTCCTGCCTCCGGTCACACCAGGAGCCAGCTGCAGGAGAGCCCTCCGAACGCCCCCGGGAGCAGATACCTAGCTCTGCTCGCACAAAGCAGCCCTTGACTTTGACTGGCCTGTCTTGACCCGGACCATGAGCAGGTGACAAAGTAGGCTCAGAAAGATGGATGTATTCTCACCTGCTCTGGAGAAACAAAGAGGACATAGTGTGCTCTCAGAGCCAAATGGGTCTGGCACAGCCATCCCCAGCACCTCATAAATATCCTCTAAGTGCTCACATGGAAGCTGGACCGCTGGGCTGTAGGAAGCAAGGGTTTTCAGAAAAACGTCTTTGCTTAGGATGGAACCATGTCGGATGCTATTATGTGATCACAGGAAAAGAAATAATGTGATCGAGGCTATTGAAATCGCTCACCCTCAGCACTGTAGCTTCTTCCATCCCCTGAGTACTATTGGTAATGGCACTTTTAATGCAAAGGGTCATTTCTCAGTTTAGAGGAAAAAAGCAAAGCAGAGGATACAATTTGGGAACTTGGGCTGTCCCTATAGCAGCCACTAGCCAGGTGGTGCTTTTGAGCCCTTGAAGGGTGGCTAATTCAAAAGTAATGTGTGCTCTACACGTATAATACACACTGTGTTTAGGCGACTTAGTATGGGAGAAATAGAGAAGTAGTTCATTAGTCATTTTTTATACTGATTATGTTGAGATAATCTTTTGGCTGTACTGAGTTGGTATATTTTAATATATTATTAAAAGTTATTTCACCTATTTAAAAAATTTTAAACCCATGGCCAGTAGAAAATGTAAAACTGTATGGGTGGCTCACATTCTACTTCAAGTGGACAGTGCTGAGCCTTGGTGTGTTGGCAGCAACGTGGGTTTCTGAGTCACTTCCTCGGACTTACTGAGCCCCCATAGGCACTTCTGTCTCTGGACAAGGCATTCTGCTGCCTAAAGCTACAGCGCCCTTCTTCCTTCTTATCCAAGCTGCAAGTTCTTTGGACAAAGGTCCAGCGGAGAGATCGAGGTCTGAGGAGCCAGAGAAAGTCTCGCTTGCCCACACTGTGGGAGGTTTGCTCCCTTTCTCCATCTTTTCCTGTTGTGGTTGAGTCTGTTAAAGTGAGTTGTTCGTGAGACAGCATGGCCCATAGGTCCTGTGCTAGATGTAGACTTCAGCAACTTGATCCACACTGTGGTCTGCACATAACTCAGCTGCATCCTGTCTCAACCACGGGGCCTGGAGAAAACATCCCCAGAGGAAAGAATATCAGTTTATGGAGAGCGAATGCAAGGACTTGCTTGCTTTGTGCGCCGGCCGTGCAGGACCTGAGTTTAGTGTTACTCTGCCCCGACACTCCCCAGACTGCCTGCTGGGATCTGGACACCCTTGCTACACACCTGGACACTTTCCATCTCACCTCCAGGAAGACTGGTCTCACACACCTGTAACTCCTGCCTCTCCGAAGGAGTGTGTGAGGGCTTCCTAAGGCTCTGACCCTTGCAGGAGGAAGTATGCCACACATAACTTGGTGGGAAGCCATCTGCAAGATTCCGGAGCAGCTATGACCATCTACTGTATATGGAGATTAAAATACCTACTAGGTCAGGTGATGGCTTTATTGTGGGTGATTTCCTTTCTTTTCTTGAAATTTTCTTCTTTTCAAAACAAAAAGAAACCATATGCATACATCTGTGCATGGATCCTACAGAAACTAAATCCTAATTTTTGTACCATGTACACACGAGACATGGAAGACACAAATGACAGGTCCTAAAGCAGTTGTGTGGCTTGGGTCCAGCCCTGAGACTCCGCATGGTCTGCACGAGTGACGGGCCTCCGTTCACAGTGAGCCTGGGCTGCAGACTCGTGCATCTGGAGGACACGCCCGGAGCAAGGTTGCCCTGAGCTCAGTGGGAAGGGAAAGAACGTGTTTGTTTCATCTAAAGGGGTATTCTTCAGGAGCAGCCTTTCAAATCTCCCTTTCTTCAAATACCAAAGATTTCTCACCTTGTTTCAAATGGCTCAACAGCTTGTAAGGCACTTTCGGAAATCAGTACTAGTCTTTGTAAAGCCGTGTTCACTGAACACACAAAAACAGGACTGGAGGGGTAGGAAGCTTACATCCAGTGGTGAAATAAAGAGCCAGGCTATGAGGCTCACGCCACCTTTGCCGCAGCCTCCTGGGCCATGGCTCTCTGAGTGGTGGCCGAGAAGGACATGTTCTGAGTTAGCCTCTCGGAGCCACCACCTCCTCTCTGCTCTATTGTGGCAGCCCCAGACCCTCTTGTCACCTGTCCCAGTGCCATCAGCTGCCCGTGGGCCCCAACCCCATGCTTGCTGGAAGTGCAGGTTTCAATACAAATTAGCGGTAGGGTAGCTGAGCTGAATGGCCAAACCTTTCCCCCTCCATCTGTGCTCCCCTCCCTTCCCTCTTGTTTTCATCTAGCTCTTCAAAGGCGCCAGCTGCCTCATTAGAGAGCAGCCTTTATGCTGGGCTTCACCTGGACCACCCCCACCTCTTAGCAGTAGCCGCCGAGCCCGATGGCCGCACACGAGGCAGGTGCTGTGGAGGAGGCAGAGTGGCCAAGAGCTTAGGAGTGGAGGGGCACGTGGCAGGCCATTGGTGAAAACACAGCTCCCCCTCCTTCCCTCCCCTAGCTGTCGGGGCAGGGCCAGCCTGACCAAGTGCCCTCCCAGAGGGCACCCCTGTGCAGAGTTGCTGAGGGGTCCAGGACTGAGGACAGGGTCCATTCCAAATGAGGAGCTCCCCAGCAGATCGCCTTGCCCAGCTGGGGAGCAGGTGCGCACACAGGGGAGGAAGGAAGAAGAGCAGAGGAAAGGGAAATATGAGTTTCTGTGGGATATGAAATGAGGAGGCTCCAACCACCGTGTGGCTCCCAGTGGTTACTCCAACAGGAGAGCCCCGGTCTTGCCTGTGGTTCTGACCCTGTCCTCCAGGAGCTGGTGCTCCTGCATCCTCGGTCCCCACCTCCCCAGGGGGCTCCTATCTCACGGTGGTGCTCACAGTTCCTCTCCCTACTGGGTGCATACCGGGCAGGTTTCATCAAACACTTCCCTTTTTCCAAACATATTTTTCTCTGCTCCTGGCACCAGAGGCTCGCCCTGCCATGGGTGCTGAAAGGGTTACTGTATTTCATTGATTTCTGAGGTTCTGACTTCTCACCTCTGCGTGGCAAGGGGTCAGTTTTGAGCTTGGAAATCCCTAGAGGCCGGGCTGATGTGGAAAAGAAGTTTTAAAAACATCTCCCCAACATCCCTAAAGGGGAATGCAGCCCACAGAGCGGCACCTCTTCTACCACTCGGCCCCTAGACAGGCAGTGCTCTGCGGGCTGCAAGGCCTCTCGCCCCTGACTGTGGCCCTGGTGCTCTGGCTTCCTCCAGGGGAAGTATGTGCTCTGCAACCCCACCCTCTGCCATGGAGTTCCCAGCCAATGAAAAGGTTGCCCTCTTAGTTGAAGGCCAACTTAATCCTCCCACTTCTGCACTTGAATTGCTTCACTATGGACAAGTATGCTGAGAAAGGCCACCAGACCTTGGGGCTCTGTGTGTGCATGCACATGTGTGCATTGGGGTGTACACAAGTATGTGTGTGCGTGTACATGCATGCATGTGTATGCATGTTTGTGGGTGCACACATCAGGGTATGTGTGTATACACATATGTGTTGGGTTACGTGTGTGCATGTATGTGTTGGAGTATGCATGTGTGGGTGGGTGGGTGTGTGTGCACGTGTGCACATGCCTGAGTGTTGGGGGGTGTACGTGTGCACATACACCGCTTGTGGTTGGTCATGAGGAGGGGGTCCCAGTGAGCTCGGCCACAGCCCAGCTCAGACCCAGGACCAGGGTCTTTCAGGGACAGCTTCATCTCAAGCCAAGTCCGTCAGCAGCAGAAGCCAAAGGCCAGCCCCTGGTGAAAAGCCCCGATGCGCTACTGCCTCCCTCGCACTGCCACGGGGACGTTAAACCTTCAACAATCCGGGGCTCTGACGGCTGGTTCTTGGTTCTCTGCCTGGAAAAACAGTAGGCGAATAGTAAAACCTTAAATTCTAACATGTGTAAGTTATACATCTTATTTTCATTTTCAGCCCATGTTCCCCTCTGTAAGACATCAGGAAAAAATTACCGTCTGACTTCTAATATCTCAGTGGAGCATTTATCTCCCAGCTATGATAAGTGATCTTCAGCATTTTTTTCCCTTTCAGATTAAGAAACAAATTCATTTAATTTTCTTTATTGAATGTGCTCATGCCTCCCCGCCCTGCTGAGCTCCCCACCCCTGCAGGGCTGCTACTCCCTTCTTCTGCCTTAGTGGCTGCTCTCGCTGCTTGTGGAGGTACCGCCACCACGTTGTGAGATGAGTGGAACCCCATCTGGCATGTCTCTGCTGCTGAGACCTCATGATGGGCAGTCCTGACCACAGAGGAGTAGGGAAGGCAGCAGCCAGGCCTCTGGAGAGCCCAGAGAGGTTGTGTGGCCCAGGGCTGGGCGGCTGTAATCTGCACCATGTCTGAACTCCTAGGTCTGGAGCTGGGTTTGGAGAGAACGGGCTGGTATCTCCTGGGGGGGCCAGGACTGATGCTTCCTGCTCCAAGGACCCACAGCTGCAGCTTCTCCTTGGCCTTCTGGTCGCCTCCTGTGGTCCTGCTGCTGCCAAGTGGCTGAATGGAGGCGAGGGCAGGGCAGGAGGGTACTTCCCCTGGGCACACTGAGAGGATCTGGAAGTATGGGGCGTGTCCTGCCCACCTGCTCTGGGCACCAGGTATCTCCGCCTGCTCTGGGCTCAGATCTCCAGGTGGCTGCTCATTGCTGAGCTGAAGCCAGGAAGCAGCCTCTCTGCACCCTATTGCAAAACCCCAGGTGCTAATTGGGCTATGTATGTACTTCGAGACCAGGTTGGGTGAGTTTGCTCTGTCCCTTGTGCACCTTGATATGCTTTCCCCGTGAGCTTGGCGGCCGGGATGCAAAAGGCCACAGGGGCCACAGCCTCTCCATTGGGTTGAAGTTCTCAGATTCTATTCCTCCTTCACACAGGAACCAGCTCTTCTGCATGTGTGTTTTGACAGGGAAACTCAGCACTAAAGCCCTGAGTCCTGCTTTCCCCTCTGCTAGCTGTGCGACCCTGGCCCAGGCACCTCACCTCCCAGTTTCCTTAACTGTAAAAAAGAAGCTATTAACCATCACCATGCCTGTCTCGGAGGGTTATTGGGAAGTTCAAATAGAACAGTGTATAAAAATACATTCAAGTCATATTCATGCAATAGAAATAATTCACTTAGGAAACATCTACCACTCATCTCCTAATCAAGGTTCTGTATAGAACTGGCTGTAATCTACTTCGAGGTTACAGAAAAGTAATGTCACCATCTCAAGAAACCCCCTCGTCCAGCGAGGGGATGGGGCACCTGCCACGCTGAGAGTCCCACGGCATGACAGTCCTAGAACCAGTACAGAAACACTGGGGGGATGGGCAGCGCCAGTGCAAGGGCCCCAAGCGCGTAGGCTGCCTGGCAACAAGAAGAAGTGTCCGCTGCAGATGGGTGGGAGCTGCAGTCCTGTCCTGAGAAGTCCAGTTTGGGGGCGGCAGGAGCTGCCAGGCATTTTTAAGTTCCGTGATGACAGGATCAGGCTGGGATTTGAAGGCGACTCTGGCAGGGCAGCGTGGAGAATAGAAATAAGGCTGCCTTGGCAGCATCCTCCTCCTCACCCCAACACCAGGTGGGGCTGGGAGATGGCTCCCACTGTCTGAGCAATGGGCTGGGGTGAGCTCCCTTACGGTGCAGAGCAGCAGCAGTGACAACTTCCCCCCTCTGTCTCCTCTCCATCTAGGGAGTCTCCGGTGGACTGCAGTGTTAGCAAATGCAGCAAGCTGGTCGGTGGGGGCGAGTCCAACGCCATGAACTACAACAGCTACATGGACGAGAAGAACGGCCCCCCTCCTCCCAACATGACCACCAACGAGAGGAGGGTCATCGTCCCTGCAGGTAACCTTGGGGATCCGGCTGCTGCCTGGCATGCGTGCCCTCACCCTTCTGGGCAACTAGTCGAAGGGCAGGTCTCTCCTGGTGGCATCTGGATGTTGGCCCAGTACCCTGCTCTCTGTGGAAATGCTGACTTAGGAAAGTTGCACTTCCCGCCTTTCTCCCTAGCTGCCGTCCAGGACAGTTTCCCAAATGTCACCAGAACCCTGACATGTAGATTCCAGAAGCCTGCCCTCAGGAAGGCCACGCCCACAGGCAGGCCCCGCCCACAGGCTCTGGGTCCCCGCCTGGTCCCAGGGGATGGGGCCTGGCAGAGCTAGCAGAGGCAAGGCCGTCTGAATGCAGCAGCAGCCTGGGGAAGCCCTAGACGTGCCCACCCTCGCCTTGCAGGAGCAGGGTGGCTACCCAGGTCTGTTGTGTCCCCCCCAGACATGTGCCTCCTGGCATCGGCAGGGTTCCACCTTTCCACAATTACAGCCAGCTCTCTGTTTCAAAATAGAAATAACTATATTTAACAAATGGAGCTCCTTCACATGCGTGCAGCAAGTTATATCGTTAGGTAAAAATAGCCTATTTTTCCGAAGTATTGGTGCTGTTGGTCACAGAGAATAAAATCATTGTTCAAGCCTCGGGGTATTGGCTGGACACTCGGCCTCGGCTAGACCGGCAGGCCCAGCCGTCTGGTCCAAAAGGGAGTTTGAAAACTGAAACGTGTGGACTTGGTGCCAGGTGGAAGGAGCTGGAATGTCCAAACCTTAAGCAAAGTGAATTACAGGGCAGAGATTAAAACTCGTTTTACCAAAATAACTTTACCAAAAAGGCAAAGCCCCTTCCACTTGGAAAAGTGTAAGTGCAGTTGTGTCTGAGGTGATTCAAAGGCATCTGCTTCTTGGCCTAGAAGGGGGTGGCCTGTGGGAGCCTCTCCTCCTTGGCCCTTTGTGTTTCTTTTCCATGGGCAGCTGTGTCTCACCATCTCCTGGGTCTACAGCTGCACCCATGTATGTGTTCTGGGCCATGTTCAAGGTGGCAGGGGTGGGAGGTCTTGGGACCAGTGAGGCAGGAGAGGGGCGGGCTGACCGGAATGTTTCTGTGACTACAGGGCTTGAAAACAGTTCGAGAAGCATTTTTAGTTTCCTTCTCCTGCAAGCATGTGGGCTCGAGAAGGCAGAGAAAGCACAGCGCCCATTCGTTGACTCCCCTCCAGGTGCCAGGCGCTGTGTAAGCTGCTCCATCCACATTACATGACCTGTACCAATTAATGCCGACCCTCCTCCAGGACCCCAGCTAGGAATGGTTAGCTCCGGTGCATTTGTGAGGCCCAAGAGCACTGTGTCTCTCCCCTTCACATCAAAAGAAGGCAGACAGTGAAACTGCACCGAAGTGGATAGGGTGGGAACCTGTCCACACTCCCCCAGCCAAGCCAAGCCAAGCCTCACCAGGCTGTTGGCCATGTGGTATTGAACTCCCGGCCTGACAAACAGTGGCCAGCATGGCAAAGAGACCTTGAGGACTGAAAGGGTAGGAGATCAGAGGTTGTCTTTTTTTTTTTTTCCTAATCCTCACCCAAGGATATGTTTATTGCTTTCAAAGAGAGAGAGACAGAGAGAAAGAAACACATCGATATGAGAGAGAAACATCAGTTGGTTGCCTCCTATATGCACCCTGACCCGGGATCAAACTGGCAACCTAGGTGTGTGCCCTGACTGGGAATTGGACCTGCACGCAACCTTTGGGTGCATGGGATGATGCTCCAACCAACTGAGCCACCCAGCCAGGGCCAGAGATTGTCTTAACCCAATGTTTACACCATCTCACATCTGCAGACACTTTTGGGAGGGGATAAGAAAAGGGAGCGAAGATGGCCAGACTTCTTGGTGGCCCTTCAACTCCAAATCAGTGTTGAAATATTTTCAACAAGGATATCAAAATGTACATCTTTGGTGGGCCAAGGTAACAATAGCAGTAATAATGAAAACGGTGCAGCTACATAGCGAGGGGTTTTTTAAGCACTTTGTCTAATGAAGTCACTCGGTGTGGATTCACTCCCCTATTTTACTCCGGGCTTAGTCCTTAAGCATGATCCTCCGACACTTTGGCTTCTTCCGGGTCAGCCTCCTGGACATGAGGGAAAGTTTCATCTGGGCCAGTCCACAGACTGAGGCAGTAAGACATTGGTGGAGAGACTGATTTTGTTTATGGGAAGATTTTAAGACAAGTATCTATGAGGACCCTAGCTAACCACCCAGTCCAAGTTCAGATAGGAAGAAACTAGGACTAAATCATCCAGGAAATACATTTGGAAGGATTTAGCATGATCCAAAGTGAAAGATTTATAATTCATTGTTCTGTACAGGGAGAAAAATAATATCGTGACAGAGCTCAAAGCAAGAGAGGAAATAATAAAATAAATTAACTACATGGTGTAAAATCAAATCTAAGGCCTTGGATGTTAAACATGAACAATTAGGACAAGCAAAGGAGATCAGATGAAATAATATGCTGCATAATCCAACCGCCCAGCCACCTCCATTTTTCTTTGCAATTCTGAAGTGGTGCAAAATCATTTCAAGTTACCAATGCTCCATGCCTAATTGCTTGATTCATATAATGAAGCTATAAGAAGAGCTCTGTGTTTTGCTTCACAGCAGAGAAACTCACGGGCGAGTTCAGATATGACTGTGAGAGGAAAAGAGAGGAGGCTGCCGGTGGGGGGGCACCGACCCCCCCAACTAAATGAAGTCCTGGGAGGGCCTGCACTGGAACCCCGGCTCAGACAGGGACTTAGGTTTGAGTCAGAGACTTAACCCTTCGGGGCGCTACTTTCCGTCTGTGAAGTGAAGGGACAAGCCACTTCGCAGGGTTTTCTTGGTAAGTGAAAAGTAGGAGCAGCTGGCACACAGTAGGCCCCCCAAATCTGGGGTTGCCGGGTACTGGATTGTGGTAGGACAGTCAGCGTCATGCAGTGACCTGCACCCCAGATTTTCCTCTCCTCACTCTCCTCTCTCACCAGCCTTGTCCGCTCCACACCTGGGGTGCTGCTGGGCACTTTGCAAAGCAGACGCAACCACCTCCCCACCAATTCTCACGTGTCACAGCCAAGGAGAGGCAGAAAGCCCCTACCGGACCAGGGCACGGCGAAAGCTCTGAGTAAAAGCCCAGGAGAGTCACCTCTGCAGGCAGACCGCAGGGCGTGAGAGAAAACAAAAACAAAACCTTGTTTTTTCCCCTTCGACATCCCTAAACATTCAAACTAGGTTTCCATTTTTGCCCAGAACCTTCACAAAGTCTTAGCAAGAGAGGGTGACATGGTTGAGAGGTGGGGCAAACATTCCTACCAAATATAACTGCTAATAAAAGAGGCCCAGTGGAAGCTGGGCTGACAGCTGACATACAATGCCCTGTCTCCTCTCCTCCTCCAGGAAGCCTTCCGTGACTCCACATGTACACTATTCTCCTCCACTTCTCACTGCTTCAACCATCACCACAAAATCTGTTGCTTCATTGCGTGCTTTCCTACCCGAACGCTTCACCCGGCTGGGTCTTTCATGAGGCCAAGGGCCACGTCGTTTTCTGTCATGATGAGCACGTTCGAAGTGTTTATTGAATTCACTAATAATTGGTTAATTGGTTAGCCAAGGAGGGGGGAGGCTTCCACACTGTGCAAAGTGATCAGCTATACAGACCTCTACCTCCCACGGAACCTACTAGACTCCTCACTGGCACCCAAGGCGCACACATCCCCCCCCCCACACATACACCCCTGGCTGAGACGGAGTCGTGAGGGTCTTGAGTGGAGACCCTCAGTCCTTATTATTGATGTTCTGTCAAGGACTAAAGGTTTTCTCTCTGACACCATTTCTCAGCTTTGGGGACTTGCACATCCTAAAAACGTTTTGGGAATGATCTAGTAGAAACTGCCACACAGCTGCGTCTGAGGGGAGAAAACGCAGGCTGGGTTCCCGCTCAGGGCTCACGCCAGTGGGTGTCCCATCTGTACGGATGGGCTCGCAGGAAAAGCATGTACAGATGTGCTCTCTCCGCTGCCATCTGAGGATCGTGTTCTTCCATGAAATCATCAGGGCTCTCAAGATACAGATGGTTTCCCTTTCCAGAGACACTGGTCCCTGGGTCTGTGGAACTGTGTTTATTTTCATTTTGATGCCACCATTTCTCAGGCAAAGGTTTCAATTGACTTCCCGAAGCTTTAAAGAGTGGGCTGTCAGGGTGTGTAGTGAGGCATCTGAGAGCCTTGCCAGAGTGCTAAGTGGTTCAGGCCGTGCCAGATGCCAGGGAGCCAGATGGGAGAGCTGGGAGGACCATCTGGGAGGGAACCCGCTTTCCCAGTGAGGACGGTGGGAGAGGGAGAGAGAGGAGGAAGAGGGAGAGTGGGGTGGGGAAGGAGGGAAGGGAAGGGGAGAGGAAAGGGTGGGAAGAAAGAGAGAGGAGAGAGGGGTTGGGGAAGGACGGAGGAGGAAGACGGAGGCAAAGAGAGGCTGCCCAGCCTTTATGAAGTGGAGGGAGCCCCTGCCACCCCCGACGCCCGCAGCCCTTGCTGACAGACCTTCTCCCCCGCAGACCCCACGCTGTGGACGCAGGAGCACGTGCGGCAGTGGCTGGAGTGGGCAATAAAGGAGTATGGCTTGATGGACATCGACACAGCCTTTTTCCAGAACATGGACGGCAAGGAACTGTGTAAAATGAGCAAGGAGGACTTCCTCCGAGCCACCTCCCTCTACAACACAGAAGTGCTGTTGTCACACCTCAGTTACCTCAGGGAAAGTAAGTGCCCCATCTATTTCGGGCCGTGAACCGCCCCCGGAGGGTGTAGCCCACATCCCCGGGGCTGGGAGAAAGCTCTGCCTGGCTGCTCCCAGCGAAGATGGGATGCCCACAGAGCCCACGCAGGGAAGGAAGTTGGGTTCCCTGCCGTCGGTGTATGTTGGGCAGATGCCACAGGTGCTGCAGGTTTGGGTCTGTCACATTGCTAAGGCCACGTGAGCTCCTACGTACCCTGCAGGAGGGCTGGCCCAGCCCCATGCTGTCAAAGGAAAACGATGAGGAATGGAGGAAACATAGGGAGCTGTGGCCCCGAGGGGTCTGCCAGAGGCGGCCCACACCCTGCCCACGAGAACTCCCACCCAGACACTAGTGAGCCCCGTCATTGTAATACATGGATGCCCTCGCTGGTACTTTCCTGAGCAATGATTAGGGTTCCTACAGTAATTCTAGATTCACGGACTGAGGATTTAAGGATCTGAAATTGCACATTAAGTTCCTCTTATCCTTGGGGTCACACTGGCACCTCCTAACCCCACCTTCATGGCCGCCACCTACACCCCCGTCTGAGCTAAACAAGGAAAGTAGCAGATGCCGCAGGACCATTGGGATCTGTTCGAAGCTCTCCCCTGACACAGTCGGGGGGAAAGAGCTTTGGAACAGGAGAGTTTACGACAGGAAGCGTGCAGTTGTCCAGAGGATTGCTCCCCTGTGCGCGTTCTGTAGCACCGACAATTTGATATAAATGCCATTTGATATGAAACATACCCAGACACAGGAACAGAATTCTCTGAGGCCCGCTAACAATCTCGGCCCTAACGCTTCACCAGAAATCCAGGCCAGGTGGTCTCCCAATGAGCCCGAGTATGAAAGGGCTGTTCTGTGGAAAGATGGTACTGAGATCGGGGAGCTGAAGCTACAGGTAAACAGATGTGGACTCCTTCCTCGAGGAAGCTTGCTAACGTCAGCCCAGCCCAAAGGCAGACTGACAGCCCAGGATGCACAGTATTTGCTGTCCGTGGCCAAGGCTGCTGGCAATCCTGAAGGCATTAAGCTTCCAGGGAAGGAGTCTGATGATTCGAAAGCCCCTTCAAAGCCGAGATCCTTGGACAGTGCCTACGGGCTGCCTTTTGGGTGTCCCGGGCCCTGGGTTAGTTTGTTCTTCATTTGCTCTTCGTTGTTCAGGGGCCTTCAGCTCGCCACCCTCGAGAACGTCTGTCTTGTTCTGCATCAAGGCACTGCGTGGCGTGGGGACAGCGCGCACTGGCTTTAAAAATGAAAAATTTTAAAAATGCTTCAGAAGTTTCCACTGCTGCCTCCAGGCTCCTCAGTCACCTCGGTGGGGTGTCTGGCGTCCGGGGGGGAGGGGAGCGTGGATGACGCAGTATATGTTAACACCACAGCCATGACCTCACGTCTGAGTCTTGCTGCCACATGAGGTGAGCCGGAGAAACAACCATTTCAAAAAAAGGGGGCAACGTTCCACCTGGTTTTCTCCTGAGCTTTGGAGAATTAGCATTTTCGAACAATCTGTATTTCTCAGCCTTTAAGTGTTTATAGAATTTCTTTTTAAGTAGGGTCTTTGTGCAGAACCCTGCAACGATGCTAGCTAGGCAGGGCAGGGGTGCAAGCGGGCTTGAGGAGAGCCCAGCAAAGCAAAAGCACTGAAGGAGCCTGCCTTTCTGCTTCCCCTGGATCCGACGGGAGGAGGCCCAGGGTCGCCGGCCCCTTGTCTTCCTCTGTGGGAGAAGAGATGGACAGCAGCAGCAGGGGCCCAATAATTTTGGGCCCCATGACAGGTGACCTCTTTGGGGAAATGGTCAAGCTCATTTGGACTTGATGTGGAGAAGCCCATTCAGTCCATGGGGCCCCCAGACCCTGCTTTCTGGCAGGGCCATCGACAGCCCGAGTCCCCTCTAGACCCTAAAGTGAGACCAGAAATTTGGTGAGCTGGTCGTCGGTAGCCACTGAAGAGGCTCTCAGCTGAATGACAGCAGAGGAGAGAGCAGGAGATGGGGGGGGCGCGGGGGGTGGGGGGCGCCAGGGAGTGTGGTATTTGTGGGGGGTGTAGGCAGCAGGGCCAGGAGAAGTGTAGCTGGCTTCTTTGTTCCGTCTTTGTTTTTAAGAATATTTGTGGACATCAAGGAAGATGCCCCGAAGTAACAAAAAGAAAAGGAAGTTTGCAGAATGGAACTTATTAGTGGGACAAATTCCCAGAGTTGAGAGGAGATGAAATGAAGTGCGTGTGTGATACAATGTCGAGTGAAACAGCTAAAAGAAAGGGCTCTGTGCGTTGATATAGAAACCACAAAAGCGAATATCTGTCCACAAAAGCGAAAATTGACATGCCTATATCAAGGTTTGTAAAAACTCGCCCCAGCCCAGTATTGTCACAGTCTAGAGGCCCTCGGAGGAACCTCGACTTAAAATGACCTGCTATCCTGGAAAACAATTTTGATTCATGCTTCTTTTTAATTGGTGTCCACCTTCAGGCTCCGGCCTCTGGGACTGCGGCTTTGGGTGGTGGTTGGCCTGCGGAACCGCGGCAGGAGGTCACGTGCCTGGTGGCCGTCTGCCGCCTGGAGTGCCAGGAACTCCCTGGTGTCCACCAGCATGTCTCCAAACACTTTACTGTTTTTCCAGACTGACTTCCAGCGGATGTTCTGTGCTGAGGCAGGGAGGCCAGCACTTTGGGGGAAGAGGTCGGGCAGCTGAGTGGAGGCAGGAGGAAGGGACACCAATGCCTTGTGCTTTGTCACCTGCCCCGTTGCTGAGGAGGGCATGGGGTTCACTCACTTCCATTTCGGCAGGAAGCGGAAGGAAAAGAGCTGAGCTCCTCCGCACGACGGAGGAAGTACAGTGGGCAAAGGGATGGCCATGGAGGAGAGCTGGGGGCCTCCGAACTGAGCTGCAGCTCAGAAGGCTCCGAAGTGGGTGGGCTTCCCCAAAGCGCCTGATCTTTCTGGACATCAGCAGTAAAGAGGAAACCTCGTAGGACAGGCAGCTCTGGCATCACACTCACACTTTCATAGAACGCGCCTGCATATTTACTCTGATTGTCTGAGGGGAAACTGTACCTTAAGTGTTAAATAACAACATTTTTTAAAGTCTTTGCTTATTTATTTTTAGAGAGAAGGGAAGGGGAGGAGAAAGAGAGGGAGAGAAACATCAATGTGTGGTTGCTGCTGACGTGCCCTGCCACCCAGGACCTGGCCCGCTGCAACCCAGGCTTGCGCCCTGGCTGGGAATCCAACTGGCGACCCCTTGGTTTGCAAGCCAGCACTCCATCCGCTGAGCCACACCAGCCAGGGCTGATAACTAATTTTAATTTTCCAGGGTGGGGAATAAATAGCAATGTCCCAACCCCCTCTATCCCCTGCTTGGTACACTGGCATGTTTGCATTAGTCCAGCGTTCCTGTGGGGGAGGAGTGCTGTTTCTTTAGACCCAGGCTTTTCAGATGTCCCCGATAGGGTGGCTGTCCCCCCAGCCGTTCCTCTGTAGTACTACGCGCACTTGAAATGGGAGGGCGACCGTGTGGGCTGGAAGAATGCACAGAGTTCCGAGGATCCTTCTGAAGTATCCTGGGGACTCTAGGGCTCAGGTGGCCTCTCTGCAGGGGTCCTTCACTTTACAAGGACAGCACGCCCCCTTGTGGACCACATGAAGTATCTATAACCCCCATTTTAAAGCTAAAGCAATCGAGGCCTGGAGTGCTTCTGAAACTGGCTCAAAGGCATGCTTGTAGCCCGTGGAGTACGCCTGGACTCCAAGACCCGGGCCTTGGATGCCCCAGGCTGAAGCCGGACCCACAGCCCCGCCCCTGCGCCCAAACGGCCGGCGGAGAGAGCTGGAGCAAACCTGCACCGCACTTGTCTCCCCGTCTCTGCTTCAGAGTCAGCCTCGTGCCCCTGGGCCTTCCATGTTGAGAGCCAGACCACTTTGCCCACAGCGTTTTCTGTTTTTATTTGTCCCAAGAGATAAATGCTTTCTGAAAACTTTCCTGTGGCCTCCTGGAATGGGGCAGATTAAGCCAAACCTATCACCACACTAGCCCTGTCCTTCCCTCTTCCCTGCGGTGCCCCACGCTGGACCTGACTGGCGGCCCCCCAGTATCTCGCTTGGGCACAGCCCGTTTGGCAGGGCCCATATTTACAGTCGTGGGCTGCGGGAAGTGAGATTGGGCGGGATCTCAAAGCGGGTGAGGGCTGCCCCAGCTGGCAGTTCAAACTCAGGGCCACTGGGGGGAGTTTGGGGTTTCTGGGAGCTCAGGAGGTCCAGGGCGGGGCCGCCATAGTCAGGAGAAAGAAAAAGAGCCCTTTTCATTTGACAAGAAGTCGGGTTCTATACGGATAATGGGGTCTGGCCTGTGAGAACTGCTAAGAAACTGTGTTCTGAAATAGTGGCGGCCCAGGGAGGGTGAAATATGTTGTGTGACAGGGAGGCCACAGAGAAGGTATCTATCTTGAGTCTCATGTTTAATTTAAACTTAATGGAAAACACATTTTGCCTCTTGTGGTATTCCCACCGGCAGCCTCCGAGGGCCAGGCAAAGGTGATGGGTCCAGTCGGTAGGCTGGTGAAGTATTACCCCTTCCAGGCCTGGCTCTGACCGGGGACAGAGAACAGGATCCCAGCAGACAAAAAGCCAGGTCTCCCTGGACCCAGTTGTCAGCCAGGCCTTACCTCCCTCCTCCCTCCACCCTCCCCACCCAAGCCATTGACACAGTGCAGAGAAGAGGGACACCCAGATTCAATGAGCTGACAAGAATGAGAATTCTCCGTGAGACGGGAGACAAAGGCTTTGGCACTGGGACACCCCTTGTCTGCCCTGCTCCCGGTGCCTCGAGTGGAGAGCCGGTTAGGTGGGGGCAGCGCAGCACTGAAGAAAGCCCAGTTGTCGGGCTCGGCCCCACACCTGCAACGCTTTACTCCACTCACTCCCACCTTTCAGATCCCAAACGCTATCTCCAGCGGTGGATGGACTCCGAAACGGAGGCGTATCTTTCCTTATGTTTTCACATTGGGAAGGCCATTGCATTCTCAACAGCTGCCACTGCCTGCTATTCAGGACCCCAGACAGAAATACACATATGCCTATATATATGCACGCTAGCATATACACAAAGACGAAAGTAAACAAATGTTTCAATTGAAGTGTAACATACAGAGAAGTGCAAAACTCATAAATGTGCAACTCAAGGAATTATCACAAAGTGAATCCACCCACATGTTTAAATACCCCCAGGTCAAGGAATAGACTAGATGCCTCCCTCCTCCATCATCGCCCCATGCTCCTGAAAGGTAGGATGGCAAGGGGCGATGGCTTGCAACATCATAGGTGGGTGTCGTCGGTTTCTGAGATTCAGCCTGCAGGCTGCAGGTCTGCTGGACTGGAATGGGCCTCCTGCCCCCTGGGCTTCCTGGCTGTGTGAACCTGGGGAAAGCACTTGACTTCCCTGAAACGGGAATACTGGATTTGCAGGGGTCACGTAAGGCTAAGTGAGAGGCAGATGTAAAGCATCTGCCACAGGGAGCCGTCCAGGAGTTGTCACCCTCCTCCTCTCGTCCTGTCGACTCTGAGGTGGCCGTGTCGGGAAAGACCCGGAGTTCAGTGGCACACCAGCCTCATGCAGAAGGAGCCTCAAAGCAGGAGCAAGAAATCCAAAGCCAGAGCCCGAGGGGACCAGGTTCCCAGGAGGACCCAGCGAGGACCGTCTAACAGCCTAGCATGTTCCCTTAAGCACAGGGCGCGCCCTGCCACCCTGGGTAGCATGAGGAACTTAATGAGGAGCAGAGGACCGAAGGGAATGTTGGTCCCTTGGGAGGGAGGGCGGATGCCCGTGACCAGCCCCTCCCCAGGGAAGGCAGCCTCTCCTTCTAGGAGTGAAACTTGAACCGAGAACAGTCTTCGGGGCAAAATCCTTTTCCTAGGTTACCATGAAATATGTATTTCATGCGAGCTTTGCAGAGGTCAGGCGACCCTTTCTCTTGGCTTTCTGGGAGTTTCCTGTGGAACTCACGTGTGCCCGGAGAAGAACTTCACCACGGGGAAAATTTAATAAATGTGGTTTACCTAAGCTTCGTGCTCTTAGCTAAATCTGCCCTAATGATTCGGCAGTTCGCTCCTCCGAGACCATCATTTTTCTTTATTTGCTCCAGCCGTGAGGTTGTAGCCTGAGGGAGAGAATGTCGGGGACAGAGAGACAGACATTCCTGGTCTTACTCCTGAGACTTTTCTATTCCCTTGGAACGTTTGGTTCCATTTCTTAACCCCCCTCCAGTCGTGGAGCATTATTTCTTACTGCAGGAGAACCCATTCGTAACTGTAATTCCAGAGGACAAGACTATAATGTTCAGCAAGCTCTCTTATAATGGGCTTATTGTATGTAATGGTGGGAGAAGGGATATAAAAATAATAATGATAATAGCTAGCATTTAGTGAACACTTATTATGAGCCACGGTCTTTCTAAGCAATTTATATGTGGCATTTTATGCTGTCCTCACAACACCACACTAGGTGTGATGATTTGTCCATTTTATATACATGAGGAGCCTCTGGTTTAGCGGACTAGGCAAATTGATGGATGTCACAAGGCTGTGGACGAAGTGGCGAGTCTAATTTTAAACTCTGATTTGCATAACACCTACATTAAGATGAGGTGGTCCCAGCCTCCCTGGGTCCTTAGTATTTGTAGAATGGACCAACCAAACACATTTGGTTCCTGGATGGCACGTGCCCGTGACTGTCTCATTTCTAAAACGGTACCTGCGTGTCCACACTTTGGCATCTCGTGAGTTCAGTATCATCACGCGCCTCCCACTCCTCCTTTTTGTCTGGAACTATTTCAGAGCTAGAAACAAGCTGCCCAGGCCAGAAGTCCGAGGTTCTAGGCAGTTGGATGGTTTTTATAACACTCCCTCTCTCCGAGTCTGGCTGGGCGGGGCACACTTTTGCTGGGAGGCAACCAAACGCCCACGGCTGGGTGAGGCCGCAGCTCCACTCCCACCTCCCTTCCTCGCCTGGAGACTAAAAATAGGAGTGTCTGCCAGCCCGCTCCCTGCGCCAAGCCCTGGCACCCGAGCCGGCCCACTCGCCCACAGTAAGCAGGGAAAGGGATCACTCTCAGAGACTTGTTCAGCCTCCAGCACCCGTGCAGAGCTCGTCGCGTCCTTGCTACACGCAGGCCCCAGCCCAGGTCTTCATAGCACATTAGAGGTTCCCTGGGGAAATCGGAGAAAAGAAAAGCTCACAAAATAAAACTCTTGAATTTGCTTGAATCTAAGGAATAAGACTAGTTTTAGGAAAGAACGGAGAATGTTTTTTATACAACGACAAAAAAACCCCCTACAATGCTTTTAAAATGCCTGCACTAGAGCCCAATACAGACGAGGCACGCATGACAGTTTAACTTTAAAAGATTGTACAGCATATCAGAAGTCAAGGATGGCAGGAAATTCGATGTGTCGTGCCTCACGTTCAGTTGCCTTCTCCCAGACATCTGCCAAAGGAGGCAAAGTGACTTGACTGTCAGACAGCTGCCACCCCCACCCCACCCACCACAGCCACTCTCCAAGCGCCCCATCGCCTGTCAGACAGAGGGCCTGCCGGTGAGCCCAGAGGCTATCGCAGCAGGAAGGACTGCCCATCTTCCCCTCCGGGCCTGGCGGGCTGCACGCTGCAGGCCAGCTCTGGCCGGCTCTGGCCCCTGTACAAACCGAAACAGAGAAGGACGCCGCAACGACTGTGTTTCAGCCCTGCAAGGCCTGACATAAGTCCTCTCTGGCCTCAGATCGGCCAGCCGCTGCTGCAGTGCAACCACTTCATTGTGGGGACGGACAGACGTAGGTCTACACCTGGGATCTGCTTACGGGGTGCTAGTGGTGGAACCAGGAGAGGCCCTGGGGTGCTCCCGTCCGGTGTTCCTGCTGTGAGGTGGTGTGGACCCGGGGACCATACATGGCTGCTGGGGAGCTTGGGGGCATCCCACCCACCGACATTCTGTGCTGCCCACTCTGGCCCTAACTCCAGGAAGCTATCACGGTCCCCAGAATGGATTATGTCCCTCTTCCCCTCCCCTCCCGCCTCACTGCACCTCCTGCTCTCCACATCAGGGGCGTGTCCTGGTTGTAACCTGCTTTCGCTTTGCCTTACAGGTTCACTGCTGGCCTACAACACAACCTCCCACGCAGACCAGTCCCCACGGCTGAGTGTCAAAGAAGGTAAGTCCGTTCCCTCGCGCACCTAGAATTTCACTCAGTACCGGCCCGGCACCGTGGTACTGGGTGTGGGGCGGCTCCGGTCTGTGCGCCAACCCCTCGTTCCACATAGACAGCGTTTTCGGGCATCAGAGATAAGATGCCAACACTTATCCAGCTTGTGCCGCTGGTTGAAAACAAAAAGCAAGGTTTTGAAACATCTTGTATAATAATAGTGGCATAAAGACATGATGGGAAGTTGTTAGTCCATGAGAGAAAATGCGTCGGTCTTAGAATGAAATGGATATCACTCCCTGTCAAAGCTGAAAATTGTGTTTTCTCTGTTGAAGATAATGAAGTAAAGATTTTCAGGGATTCTTGCAACGCTGCATTCCAAACAAAATTTAAACAACTTTTAGCCATTGCAAAGTGGTGATTTGAGGATTTGGTCCAGGTGGTTTGGTTCAGCGGAGAGAGAAAGAAAACGGTTGCAGTGAACACTTTTGCCGGTGGCCATTTTAGCAAGCATCGCAGTAGCATTTTTCAACATCTTTATTTATGAAACAATATTGTAAAGGTTTGTGGCTCCAGATACTGTGTCAGAGTATAGGCATTGAGTAAATGCAATGGCAAAAGGAAGAAAAAATGTGAATAAGAAAAATCTACCCAAGGGAAAAGGAGTATTCCTTGGAGGAGGGAATAGGAGTATGGCAAGCTTTCTCTCTGCCTTGGGTCTCTCTCCTTCCCTACCTTTTCTTTAACGCACACCTGCTATAATGTAGAATGAAGGCAGACTTTTTCATATTGGCTGCATTTCGAGTAGCACAGCATTAAAATTTCAGAGAATGTAAGACCCTTCTAATGGAGGAAATTTCAAGAACATTTGATTCAAAATCTTCGTGGGTGCCCCAGGCAGTGGCTCCATTGGTGGGAGCATCATCCCACACACCGCAAGTCCACAGGTTTGATTCACAACCAGGAACGTACCGGAGTGTGGGTTCAGGCCCCGCCAGGGCACGTTTGGGAGGCAGCCGATCAGCGTTTCTCTCTGTCCTTCTTCCTTCGTCCCTCCTTCCTCCCTCTCGCCAAAATCAATAAATATATCCTTGGGTAAGGATTAAAAAAGTCCCTCGTGGATTATGGAGGAAACAGAGATACAAACAACCCGAGTGTCTTGGTCAAGGTCACACCTTCAATCACATAGGACTTTGTGGTTCCTGTTAATAATTTATAATCAAACGATGACCAAAAAGGTAGTGGAGAAAATCTACAATGTGATGAATCGGATTGTAAACTTTTGTGGTTTTCATTTGCTTCCTACTCCCTTACCCCACCCTGGGCCAGTCCTATTTATGCTACTGTTTTCCTTTCCCAATCAAATTGATTGAATTTTTCCATGCAAACTAAATTATATTGACTCATTCTACAGTCCCAAGCCACATTTTACTCGATGGCCTACTCAACATCAGGTTGCAAGTGTCTGTAAGAGAGAAAATGCATTAGAGTAACTCACACGATTGGCTGTCGGGGCACTCTCAGCTTCCTTTGGGGAAACCGCTTCGTCCCCTGAGCCCCAGTGTCCTACCAAATGAAGGGGCCGAGCTACATCCGTTCGAGTGGAGCCCAGACTCGAGTCTGTGGCTTCCAGGGTGATGACTTGGGAGCCACAGAGTCAGAGCTCTGCCTTCATTCAGGGTCACTCTCCTTCAGTCTGGTGCAGTTATGGAACTTTGTTTCATTCCAGGTGGGAGCCCACTCCTTGGATGGAAGAGAGAGACAGGAAGAAAGGCCTAGAGGGACAAGGAAGAAGGGAAAGGGAGAAGGGAGGGAGAGAGGAAGGAAGGAAGGAAGGAAGGAAGGGAGGAAGGAAGGAAGGGAGGAAGGGAGGAAAGAAGGAAGGAAGGGAGGGAGGGAGGGAGGAAGGGAGGGAGGGAGGGGTAAGATCCTTGAATGTTCCTCCAGCTCCGCAGGCTGAGGCTGGCTGACAATGTCAGTATTAACTAATGAGACTCTGGGGCAGAGCCAAGGAGAGAATTTTTGATACTGGGTTTAAAATAGAGATTTCCATCTAGAAGCTAGTTTGTTCGAGTTGAACTGTATTAATAACCAACACATATCACTCCTCCAGGGGTGTCAGCTTTCCGCCCTCTCCTCTACCTGCCACATTGCATTTCCTCCCCTTGGTCTTTTTGTGCACAGCGAGTCCATTTGCGAGGCCACCGGGTTCATTCAGGCATCGCGGGAGCAGCTCGCTCCAGCCGGGCAGCAGCCCTCTTCTGAAATGAATTAACGGTGGTACCCAGGCAAACGCCTGCTGCCAGGATCTCATTCAGGTGGTGCCGGGCATTTATCTCCCAACATTGGCCCTGGCCTCCAGAGACGATTACGGCTGCGCTTTGCAGGTGCGTCCTTTGTCCCCAGTAACGCTTTCCACTCGAGCTGTCTCGCTGCTCCGCAGCCTCCCCCTTGTGAGACGGTCTGAATCTGCCTGAGCAGCCAGCAGCCACAAAACAAAGTGCATTAGCAAGACAAAGCTAGCCCAGCTTCTCCGGCCTCCCCACCTCGCTCTCTTCTTCGGCTTTTCTCTAATCCCTACCTTTAGTTCTTAAAATATTAAATGGAAAACATAAAGAGGACCCATCACACACCCTGGCTCCATCTTGTTCAGATGAAGACACTCACAGAGCCCCAAACAAACCCAGAGTTCATCTAAAGCGCCAGCGTTTTTGTGCGTGTGTGCACGCCACGCACACTTCACACAGGGCAGGTGCTGGCGTCGAGCACAAAGGAAAGGAGTTGAGGACGTGATGTCTGTGAACGCTCCTTCACCACACATGTCAAATCAGAGTGCCTTTGACGTTGCCGTGGCGTAGTCGTCCTTCTAGCTCGTCTCCTGGAAATAAATGGCTGCTCCCTCTAAGGGTTATTTGTGCCCAGGAAGTAAGACTTGTTTTTAGAAATTAATTTATAACGGTCTTTAAGTCCCTTAATGAAATATTCTATGGTCATAGACGGGACCCAACTGGAACAGTTATGATCTCTCTACTGTTAGTTATCAAGGCCAATGCCCTTAAGGAATATGGGATGGAAGCATTATTGCCCATTTGCGACAGCGGCCACGGCTGCCTGCCGTCTGCGTAGATGTCGGTGATGCTTTGGGCACGTTCCCAGGCCATGCCTCTGCTTTTGAGCCCGGCAGCCTCCCTGAGAGGTAGAAACGATCGTCTCCATTTCGCAGGCTGGGCGCTGTCCACGGCAGAGCAAGGGCTCACGCCCGGGCTGTGGGTTCAGGGTCCTGGGCTGCAGGTGGTCTCCCCAACAGACACAGCCCTTCTGCCTCCGGCTGACTTTCATGGAAACGAGACTTGGCCTAAGTGTATGGTTTGGGCAGAGATTTGAATGTTTTCCTGTTAGTTTTCTTCATCCCCACCGTTTTCCTGCGGCCCTCCCCTCCTACATCCCTATGCTGTTCTCTTTCCCCAAAGATGAATTCATTCATACGCTCCCCCTACGTGGCACTGCTGCCTGACCCAACTGCGCAGGAAGCACCTGGTGAGCTTTTTAAACGTACTGATGCCGCAGGACCAACACTGCGTCACTCCATTCACGTGAGGCACCTTGCGCAGGCAAACAGACAGTGGGATGGCAGGTCCCACATCTGGGGGCCGGGGAGGAATGGGAGTTATTGTTTAACAGGGCAGAGTTCTAGTCTGGAAAGATGAAAAGCTCTGATTGTTCTGGATGCACAACGCGAATCCACTCCATGCCACTGGCACTCACTGAAAAATGGTCGGAATGGTAAATACTATGTATGTTTTACAATAAGAATACAAAAATACAATACTGATGCCCAGACCCCCAGCAGGACCAGTGAATTCAGGATCTCTACCAGGGACAGGGGGGCAGTGAGAAGGTTGCACCCTCTCCGGGTTCCTCTGGCAGTTCACAGCCAACATTCAGAAGCCCTGCCACACAACACAGATGTGCAGTAGAGAGAGGAAAAGTGAGACCCGTCTCAGAACTGCCCAGGTTTCGTTGGAGATGCGCTGGGCAGTGGGTCTTGACCTTTCATGGCCTCAAGTCAACCTAGAAGAGGAAGAGCAGGACCTATTGGTATACAAATAATGGTATAGGCAGAGCAAAGGATGAAGATTAAAAAATTAAAAATAAAAAGTAGGTTTGTGGTAACTTGAATCTACAAGGAGGACGCCGGGGCCCTAGAAGGCACGTGGCCTTTCCAAGTACACACAGTCCTGGAGCCAGGACCACTGACCCCCAAACCCCGTCTCTCTACCCTCCATGCTGGGGCACCCGGGTGCAGCCCAGAGCTCCCCCGTGTTTTCCTGGTGAGCCCTGCCCCGGGCCCTGCCCATGTCCTCAGCTGGACAACCCACATGCAAGGACCAGCAGATCTCTCCCCTTCGGAGAGCTTTGCACATGTAAACCCTCATTTCCTCAGGGTCATGCTGGATCTGTTTAAATACCTCTGACTCTCCAAAAGTCAGAGGATATTGAGCTCCCTGTTTATTAACTCCTGGAACTCATAAACCCACCATAGCCCGCATAGCCCTGAGCTTCCAGCCCCAGCCTGGGAAGCCACTCAGGACCTGCCGCTGAATGCAAAACCGCTTCCCCTCCTCGGTCCCTTGTCTGCCTGCCTGCGGAACAGCCATCTCCAGTGGTTGCCTTGGCTAATGGATAAAAAGTCTGTCTGCTTACATGCCAAGCACAGGAAAGAGAGCAGAGAAACTCTGAAATGTGTCCCTTATGGTAACACGCCTGGCAGGCACCGGAGACTGTGCCAACCAGAGCCCGGTGTCTCTCCCGAGGCTCCAGGTGGTGGCGGCCCATTGTGGCTCCTCACTGTTTGCCAAGCACCGCACGTCCGTGGCCTCATCTGTGCCCCCCGCCATCACCAGGGACGGCAGGGCTGGTGCTGTTAGGACCCCCTTCTGTAGATAAAGCAGACAGGACACAGATGGATGGCAGGGTGCATTTGACATCCCCCCAGGTTTTGGAGCAGA